AAAGGGGCCTCAGAAGATTAATTCCAGTAGTCTCTGTTTGGATCATTATATGTTCCAAAGCTTTACTGAAGTCCTTGTGCCGTACCCTGGTGGTTGGTGGTCAGTGGGTCCACCCTGCCGTAGCAGGAACACCAACACGCCAGCTCACACCGCACTGTCCTCCGTTCTCAAGTTTAAAAGTAGCACTGGTTTCCCAAATCCTCTTGGCACCTTATTATAGTCAGTCTTAATTTATTGATGGTAAATTCATCCCAGGACCACCTTGTCCAGGAAAGGAAGCCAGATTGTTCAGTGCATAACATGTAATTAGATTGTTATACTGTGTTGTTGTTGCTCCCTGGTTAGAATTAGCACGATCACTTTTTCGACTGTGGCAGCACTGGATCAGATGCTAACCACTCATAGAGACGTTGGTTAAGTTACATACTAAATCTCCCTTTACTTTGTTCTCTACAGACCATGACAAAGCACTTTATAAGAAGTGCTTTATAAATAAATCTGACTTGATTTGACTTGACTTTTCTTGACCAAATTCCCACGGGCTTCAAGCTGGTTAAAAGCCATGGGCTCATGTTGGTGTTCGCTGTGTCACTGCAGTACATGTCACAGGTGCGCAGTGCCCACTCGCATTTCATCAAACTTCGACAAACACATGTTAATATGTGTAGAAGTGCTCATGTCTGACTCACACCAAGACCAATGGGTCATGATCTTGACGGATTTGGACACTCACTTTCCTCACTTTTAATAGCCCAAGAAGAAGAAGGTAAAACAGGATAAAAAAGATGCACACTTTAATAAATACAGGCTACCATTGACATGGAGGTCATGTCCTCAGGATGGGAGTATGAAGGTTTTAACAGCCTAATAAAAGAGTTTACGTTTTACAATTTCACACAAATTAGACATGTTGGAAGACTGATTTTGATACTTTCTAAAGATATTAAAACCTTCAATAATAATATAAATATAATTTTTGGCCACTTGGGGGCAGTGCGGCAAGCTGTAAACACAACCTTAATGTATTATCACAATGATGTTATGTTAAACATTCTAACAGTTGCCATTTATACATCCATAAGACACATAGTTCCTTTAGAGTCATGGTTGTGACCACCTAGTGAATGTACATACAATATTCAGCCTCCTTTTAGCTCTGTGTTAGTTTCCACTAATCCCTGAGGGAAATACCTGTCTCTGTAGCTGCTAAATGTTCCACTGTGCTGTGCAGGCTGTGTACACGGTATTAATTTAAAGTTTTTGTTTTTTACTGAAAACAGCTACCTGTTGCACCTGAAATCCACACGGATGTTTAAAAGCTTCAAGGGAACTGCAGAGTTGGGTGATTATTAGCTGTAGGTTCATTACTATGATCAACTTATTTGAAATTGTATGATTTTGTATGATATTGAGTTGTTTAATCCTTTGGTAATATAAAAATATTGATTAGAGCGACTTTAAACTTGACTGTTTTTAGACAACAAATATAAAATAAAGGGATCAAGTATTTCTTATGTTTCATTCAAAATCTCACCCCTTAATAAATAATATAATAATAACATATAATAATAATAATAATATGCACACATTGGTTTTTAGATGCAGTTTCAAATTATTTGACAGTAAACCGTTAAACTTAAGAGAAAAGTGTGTTTTTACTTCCCCGGCAATTACATACGACAATGGCTGTTTTACAAGAGAAAACTTTATTTTCATGCACACAAACAACCATGACAACACATTTAAAATACGAAATTAGGAAAGACATTTCAACCTCAGCTGATATGTTCAGGCGAAAACACTGAGGGAGTATTGTGGTATCTATCTCTAAACGCCAATATACATGACTTGGCTATGAAACTAGAAACCACCTGTCACATTTGCTTAAAGCCAAAACAACAGCTCTCACCTTCTTTCGCGCCGTATCAACAACATGGTGGGAACTCCGTAAAAATAGAATAAGTTAAAATGCCGTGAGCCTTTTATCCCAAAAGTCATGGAGTAATAATTAGATTCTGTCATCCTGCAGTATCCTGGCCTCTTCAAGTGGAGCAGGTAAATATTTAGTGAGGACTGTGATTGCTGCCGGCCATGGCCTATTCATCTCTGTCACTAAGTAATATTGGAAATTCGTGAACACTAATGTGAAAGAGGGAAAACATGAGAACATGCTCTGCAGAGGAAGACTGTTTGCATTGCTTCAGCGCAATTGACTCCATCCCTCTATTGTGCGCTAATGAGTCTTTATCTTGAGTTAACACTGCAATCTGGAGTCCTTTTCACAATAATGTTTAACTGTAAAGTATTTTATTGTTCAAATAATGTTGTTTGTGCTGATTAGTGCGCCCATTCCAAACAGGTTTGTCAGTGTGAAAATACAGCCCCTGCCAGAAAGAAAACCTTTATGCAGTAGGCCCGTGTGCTTGGCTCTGTTTTCCATTAAGAGCATACAAGTAGCTCAACAGCCATGGCTCTAATCCAAGGAAATGTTTCTCCAGCCTCCATTAAAGATGGATCACTTCAAATTCTAATGTCAGCTACACGGGGTGACTTTACTATTGGCTTCCCAGGGGTCAGCTGGCGGGAAGATCCTCCTCTGCACGTACAGGCACGAGGTAAATATACATCTGTGTAAACAAGCGTGAGTGACAGTCCGAGAGGCCGTCATGGGAGCACAATAAGGAGGGAATAAGGCCTCCATATGTGGATAAACACAGACGGGAGGGATGTGCCCTGCCCTGCTCCTGTAGGGAGAACCGAGTCCATGTTAGCCTGTCAGACAGAAGAATAGGGAACACGGGCGGCTTGCAGGGTCAGTGGGAGCGGCTTCAAATCCTCCTTTGTGCTCTTGGGCCTGCGTCAGAGACAATGTGTATAATGAGGGAGGAATTTGGCGAGGGGTGCAGTGCGCACACACACACACACACAGGGGAAGCACCTCGCCCCGGCCCCGGGGAGCCCAACCAGCCAGCTGTCTCAGCTTCTGTCTCCCCGGGGCAAGACACTTTATACACAGGATCCACCATCAGCCGACATGATTGATGTTACTGGATACACTGTGTGAGCTGTTCAAACTCTCCATCCTCTGATAAGAATATGGGTAACTTCTGGGACTGTGAGATGTCAGGCCTCATTGTCTATTTTTTTGTGTCGCAAGTCATCGAGTGCCTGGGAATGGAATGAAATCTGAAACTGTGTTTTTACTGTATTGAGGGGTAAGTTCGGTATTTTGCAACTGAACCCTATTTTTCCAGTTGTTTGTGTCTATGTGGCTCATTGGGACAGGATTTTCTGTCTCAAAATGACATATAGGCCTACGACCGTTCAAACGACATGCGTGACCCTTGTAAAGTAGGTAAGACATATATAAGTGTGCCCCAAAATAACATGAAAGAGTGTTGGAGAGTACCAGTCCAGCGACATGCGTACCGCACGTCCCACGTGAAATGGTGTAGATTGGCTAGGTTTAGCCAACCAAACTACTTGGTTAGGATTTGGAAAAAGTTGCTAAGTCGTCAAGGCCACCTGATTCCCTTGACAGAAAAAATTATTTTACTTTTCTTGTCTACTGCTACCTTTATCATTTAGTTTGTCTTATTGTGTGACTTTGGTATTTTTAACTCTTTAAAACACCACATTCATACAAGAGCACAAACAAATGACACACCAAAGTCACAATAACAAAAATAAAACTAACCAACTGAGATCAGCAACTCCTGTGTTCACTGTTTCTGGTTAAACAAAAAGGATCTTCCTTTTTAAAAAATGGTCTGTCTATATAGGTATTCTTTCTATACTGTTGTCAGACTCTTACAATAACAATCTGAGCCAGTCAGTGGCAAAAACAAGCACTTTTAGTGGATGCATTTTACGGGGTGCAATTGCCAACAAGGACTGTGTTGCAGCCCTGTCCCACTACTGCCGACTGCCGCCTGCCGCATACTGGACCAGTTGCAAAAAGTGTTGTCCCAATTAGTGACATAGAGACAAAAACATGGGGATATGCCTTCTTTCCAGGTTGAAAAATACCAAAGTTACCCTTTAATACCTCTTATTCAATATGTTTCATAGACAGACACATTTATTTTCAAGTCCCACTCACTTTGTCTGACACTGCAAGAACTTAAAGTAATTTCTAAGACAAGACCAAACCATTTTGTTTTCTTTTACAAAGCAATTCTTTTTCTTTTTAGGCCTTTTCTTCATGTTTTAAGTTCTGCTATAAAGAAGCCAGTCATTAATTACCTCCACAAGTCTAACATTGTGTTTCTGTGTCAACCTGGTCACCTTCAAACTCATATTCTTTATTTATTACCATCATTTAAATGAATGTCGGGTTTACAAGTGTGTCCTTTGCTTGTAAAGTGCCGATGCCTGCGGCAGCTTCTCAAAGTAGAGCAATATGTTGATGAGTTGACATGACACTGCAATGCACTTTTTAGGAAGTCTTATATATATATTACAGGGAAAAGTTAACTATAGAGCACCCCAGACTGAGCATTGTAATATGGTGATTCAGAAGTTATTCAAGGTTTAGATTATTTTCAGTTTGTGTACAGAAACAGAAAATGGATACAAACAGTTCCTTTGCAGCTGTTTCTGAGTAAATGAAGAGAGTAAAACAAACAGCAACTCTTTTCATCACGCAGTGTAAATGTTTGTGTTTGCGAAATTATGCCTGACACATGGAGTGCATACTACTGTAGATCCTACAATTTGGGCCCAGGGATCTTCAGGGACCATTGGAGGTGGCACAGTTGAGAAAAAGCTTAATTTCATTGTTATTTGATCCTGTGACTGCTGTTTGGATCAGATTGACTCCCCTTTCACTGTTGCTTCCCAATTAACAAAAGGAATACAAGGAAACAGTCTTCTCTATTGTGATTGATTGATCTCAGATATTATCAAATGGGTGTCTGTGGCCTCGTGTATTTATTTGGGATAGGAAAAGTTTAGAAGCCCACGTCTGTCAGGACGAGGCTGGGAGGGACTTTCTGGACACTGCGCAACAAGTCCGAGGGCGCAAGAAGTAGATGATGAGAGTGAATGACAACACTGCATGCAGTAGCTCAGAAAGGAGACGGATTTTAAGTGGATGATTGGGTACGATGTTATTCCCCAGCCACATATTTAATTCATGCCGCCGCTTGGAGAGGATGTGTCGCAGTAAAGTTTATCCGGACTTTGAAAGCGCGCCGTTGGAAGTTTTCCCTACGCATGCCGCAGCACAGAAAGCAGGTTGTACGACCTACTATAACACAGAATGGCAAAGATGCAGCTTTTCACACCCATGATGTTTTACTTTTCTCTCGGGTTTAATGGTAAAAGTAGCGCTGAAAGTTGACAGCTATTGGGGACGCGGCAGGTGAGCAGCAACGCGTGAGATTTGGACTGCAGCTCGATCTCAGGCTGTCCTTTAATGTAACGGAAGGCAATGTGAAATGGTCCCGACTTGTCATAGAAGCTGGGAGGATATAACTTGAAAGGAGCGCGCATTTAAAAGGATTTCAGTCCACCATGAGAGCGTTGAGTTTGCTGTGCGTAATAGTCGGGCTGTGGGAGTCGAGCCTGAGCAACAGAAACTGTCCGGACCTGATCGTTGACAGCTGTCACTGCTCGGCTGAGAGGTCCAAGGAGCTGAGCAGGCAGCACGTCCGAGTCAAAGTTGTGTGTGATGATGTGGACTTGATGGACACCCTGCAGCCCAGTTTCTTACCCAACAGAACCGTTTCTCTGTAAGTAGGTTTCATTAACAGTTTCACAACACCTTCTATTTTAACAGACAGGACCACGTCCCAGGACCCCAACCAGATTTTGGATTTTTATTTTTTATTTTAAATGTTTTATTTTGTATTGAATCAGATATTTGATCTGGACTTTAGCAAATTGTAGCAAACAATACAAGTGAGAAGTCCAAACTAATTTTCTTTTTCTGAACTTGGGATACTGTCTAGTGGATGGAATGTTTCTGGGGGGACCTTGGAGCTCCCTCATGGGCCCCTGGAGATCCTTAAATCCCAGTTTGGGAACCTAAACGCATGGGCAAGAGCATTAAGTGTTATAAATTGATTCCATAAGGTTCCAACAGATTCACCAGTAAGTCTTGTATCCAGGATAAATTAGTTTTAGAAGGGTATCAGACAGAATAAATCAACAAACTGCAGTTTATAACTGTATTATTATGAATATTAATGATGCTATATGGATTAAAATATCATAATGCGGTTGCTTAACTCACCAACATTATAGAAGCACTGCAATAACACCTTGGGGAAGCAAAAAAAAAAGAAAAAAGATAAGATGACTTTAAATAGCAATCAGTGAGAAATAGTTGCCTCTATGCTAGTTTGTCATGGTATAAAATTGCAAACAGAACCTTGTTAAAATGCTTGTATTTCATACTTTTTCCCTATCAAAGACCGTCCAACAGAACATTGTATTGTGGATACTGATTAGTCCAATAATAGTATACCTGTCTATTTGACCTGAAACAATCAGCTGTTTAATCAATATGTCAGTAACAATTCTGATAATTTATTAATTGTCACTTAATCAGGAAAGAATCAATATGCCAAATGCCATATTTGTTGACCCCAGCCTCTCGAACCTGAGCATTTGCTGCTTTTCTGTGTTGTATATAATTTGAAATGGAATATGTTTAGTATTGGAGTTGACGTCCCTGTGAGCTTAACAATCTAAACAAGTAATTGAAAAATACAATCAAGAGATTAATTGGTAATGAAAAATATTATTATTGTAACTTTCATTTAATTGAGTAAATTCATTGAAATCAAGATGTTTTGCAAGAAACATCTGATTACAGCAGAAGAAATGAAAACAGAGATAAGACACGCAGCCAGTCATACATAAGCATATATGAACAGCATCAGAAACAAGCACACATCTCTAAAAAGGTCTAAAATGAAAAGTTATATATAACCCCGAAGGCGGTCTTACCAAGTTCAGTATTTACTGGTGGGGCATCAAGAATTAGCCAATCCTGCGATCTGCTCTAATGAACAGAAGTTTGCAATTTGAAAACAGGTGTGATATACTGACGCAGCTTTAGTAGGAGACATTTATAACTTAAAATGATAGTGTAGTTGTCCTCTTGTTGCTATGTTGCTATCACGTAGGAAACTGATGAGTACGATATCTATCTTGCACCCATACCGTCTACACTGTAAGATAGTTGGCTGCAGCAGCATGTCCTTGAAAACCTTGCTCGTATTACTGTGTTAGGCTACTGATCCTAACTGTTGCTTAATGTGCTTTTGGACCCGTTGTGGTCCTCAGAACCCACGTTTGAGAACCATTGTCCCTGTGTGAACCACCATTTGAGCCTCACCTGTCTTGTGTTGTTAAATTTTCACCTCTGCATAAATCTTTTCCCTCTTACCGTTATTCAAACATAGTTTTTGCACTTAGACGAGGAGAAGCCTCCCTTAGCATTCATCTGTGTCTCTCTCTTGCAGATGAAATAGCACTTCAAACACTTGAGGGGTTGATAACTTTCCCCACACGTTGCCCCTCTCTCTGCAGGTGCACAGATTGACTGCTAGATTAATAGACTGTTTTATTCTTGGAAACTTGAGGTCTGCCTTCGGAGAGTGAAAGCAAATACTAAATTTAAAGGCCCTTGACAAGTTACAGTCGACCACTCATTCTGAACTAAGAGCACAGTTGATTAATGGTAGCACTTTGCTTACTGCAATTTATTTGGAGTGGTGCTTCCGTGTAGGCATGGGTACTTCTGTTCCTTTATGCAGAGTTGTTAAAGGCTTTGTTTTCAACATTCAGACTGGAGCTGTTTTGTAGCTTGCAGGTACTAACACAATTTGATTTTTAAAGTGGTCTACATAGATAAATCACACTAAGTCACAATAAGGCTTGAGGTGTGCTTTAACAATATACAGTAAGCACAAACTAACTGGCTTCGGATTGAAGCTTCTCGCACAGAATTACACCTTTTCACTAGAGAAATTTGTGGCTGTGTGTATGCTGTGTTATGATTAGACCAGTATAAATAAGCCTATTCCTCACTCAGTCCTATTCCTCCGTTAACTAAATCCTACAGTTGAGGTCTAGCTGGCCAGGAAGCAGTTTTCCTGCGTTAGGAAATGTGACCTTTGTCAGGCTGAAGTGGCCTCCCTGCTCACTCTTTTGTTTAGATGTGCTGTGCAAATAAACAGATATATGAAGGGAAGTACGCACATACCGATCTCCCCCTGTAGACTGCCCATCAAATCCCCCAAATGTCTCCTTGCGTGCTTCCTTCGTTTTCTCCTGATTTCACCACCTATGTAGACTACGAGATTCTTGTAGATTAATTTCCCCAATGACAGCTCAAGCACAGTGCGTCACGTTCAAGTATACTAACCCAGATCGAAATGTCACCTCTAATTAAAGGGAGAGATTGGGCTTTGTTGCTTTTCTTTTTGCCTTTTATTATTTTATCTATAAAATGTTTATGAGGAACGAACCCTGCAATATTGCACAGCCTTGCAAATACCTAAGAAAAACAACTTCACAAGCAAATGAAAGAACCTCAGCAAAAATAAGAGAGATGGACATTAACTTTATGCAAGAGTGTGTCAGTAACTCTGAGTAGCACAACACCCCCGATTAACACCTCAGATTGTTTTCCTTATTGTCCATTGGGGAGGGGAGTCAGGGAGACTTGGAGCTCCGCCTGACAGCTCTGTTGACCTTGGGACCTATCTGGTGTAATGGTTTCAACGCTGCCGAGCAGCAAGGGCGCTGCCTCTCTGCAGAGAGTAGCAGCTGAAATTGTAGCCGACACCTGTCTCAGGCTCTGCGCCAACAGGAGGAGTCACCACCTGTCCGAGGGAGAAGAGGGACACATTGTGGAAGAGACAAGGGGATAGAGTGAAGATAGGAGATAGAGATGGAGAAGCAGTGGAAGAGCCAACCGAGGAATAGAGGAAGTGTCAGAGAGGACGCTGGGAACGTGGGGATGGGAAGTTTTTGGTAAAACATCACTTGATAGCTGAGAGTGAGGCTCAGTGATGTGACTGCCACAAAGGGATTATTTGGACTAGGAGGAGCTTGTTGCACAGAAACAGCTGATTGTAACTGAGTCTCCTCACTCCTGGAAACAGAATGTAAAGAGAAACACACTGTGCACTTACAGTATATAACTGGAAGAAAATGTAGAAACTTCTTACTAACGTCTTATAAAGAACTACAACTGCTTCCCGCTTGCTGAGCTGTTGTGTTGTAAGCCACTCCAGAGTATTAAAAACTGTATGGTAGTCCAACAAAAAGCCGTGTAAATTTTGGCACTTGATTTTGATATTGGCTTAGTCTTTTAACAAAAATCTATATTATTTAAAGTCACATTTTAGTCATTTGATTAGTGTATAAATAATATTGCAGCATTATTCCTTTAGTGAACATCAAGCTGGGGTCTTAGACGGCTGACAGTGATCTTTCTTTCATTTATACCCAGTGGTGGAAGAAGTACTCAATTTTCCTACTTAAATAAAAGTACAGATACCACACTAAAATGTTACTCAGTTAAAACTAAAAGTCATCCAGTAAAATACTATTTAAGAAATTACCTGGTTTTATCAAAAGAAAACAAAGTACCACACATTCAAATCTATAGATCTTACAGAAAGCAGTTGAATACAGCAGTTAAAGTAAATCACAATTAATAAAAGCGAGTCGCAACAGGACAAGTGAATATTTCCTGTACTGTGCAGGGGATTACACTGCATCATCACTCTGCTGACGTGGTAGTATCCTCTTTAGACCGTCTGACAGACACCAAACTGTTTGGGACTTTATGTCAGGATGTCACAAGGAGGTGGAAACCAAAACTAACTGAAATCACTTGATCACTGATCAGGCAGAAATCAGCGATGCGAAGTCAATTCGCACATATATTTGTTTTTCAGTGCTCCTCCACTTAGGTGGGCTGCAAGCTTTTCTTTTCTTTTGGCGATGGTCTCGTGCAGAATGCACCAGAGTAAAAAGTCATTATTTGGCTTAGAAATGTAGCAAAGTAAAAGTTTCAACAAACAAAAGGACACAAATGTTTGGGCTATGCTCAACGTTCAGAATAACCGACATAAATCATTGCATTCATTTTTGTCAGTAACAACTGAGAAGTTTTCCAAATTTCAGACTTGCCTTGCTTTGGTCTTGTATTGTATAACCCAGTCACTTTTATCTTCTTTTCAACTTTGTTTGTTGACTCCATCTTATCATTTTTTAACTGCCCACTCCTGCCCGCAGCAGAGTTAAAACCGCCCGCTCCCACGTGTGTTGGGTCCCGTGGGACCTGTGGGATTCCAATCCCAATGCAGCTCTCTAGTACAAATCCAGAATAAAAATACTTAAGTACAGAGGTGTGAAATAATGAAGTACAAATACTTTGTTACTTTTCCTCTGTTCTTACCCATAGTCTCTGAACATGAAAGACGACTAAAAGTAATGTTAAAGCAACCATAATCAATATTTGTATATTGATTATAACAATACATAACTAAATATCCAAATAAATCAAATCATATGGATAAATGTATTTGAATGTGAAATGTAGTGATACAGATTATTACCCAACTCTGCAGTGCTCAGTTCTCTGAAGCTTTGTATGACTTAAGCTCTCCACTCTCATTGAGTCATTTGTGTTCACCCGCTAAATGCTACCTGCTCAGCACCAAATGGCATACAGACAAAGTCAGCGACTAGCTGGTGAGCAGACTGG